CCTATTACTTCTGCTTGGGGGAGAGCTTAAAGTTAGGGTGAGCATATGTCTCAGTTTGCCTGATAAATTATATGGTCGAGCTACTAAAGTGGAAGACAGGTATTAAGAAACTAGAGGATATAACTGGGGAAACTGACCTAGTCTGGGAGTGGACAGAGAAGTCTTTTCTAAGGAAGCGACTCTGAAGAACAGGCCTGAAGAATCAGAAGGAAGTGTTGATGAAAAAGGCACGTGCTCTCACTTGCCTCGGATTCTTTGCGCTAGCCCTTTTTTCCCTGTCTTGGAAGGGAGGATTGTCCCACATCTTGTCCCCTGCCTCCTCGATATTACTGTTACATGTGAACAGTGTTTTACAAACAGCAAGTAGCAATCCATGAGTCAAACAATTTAGTGAATAGTAATCTGATTAAAAAATATATAGATATATATGGTAGAAAATATCAAGAGTACATTGTGCATAGTAAGGGTAAATATTAAATAAAGTAAAACTTATTCATATAATAGATGTATGTACTTGGTCACAGTAAAAAGTGTATTTCTTAATTGCAGATTATAGTCAAAAAGTTTTAAGAACATTTTGTCCAAGACAAATGGAAATGAAATTGTACTACTATTTTGACCTCCTCGTACCATTGTTGTCTTTTCAGTTATTTATTTAATATCTGGAGAAAGTGAAAAGATTAGGAGTGTCCCTCAAGTTGAGAAGGGGCCAGATTATTCAAGGCCTTGTAGGACTTTTTGTGGATTTTTTGTTTTATCCTAAGACAAATGGAAAGTGATTGAAGCATTAAGTATTTTTTATTTTGCCACAATTTTGTTTTTATCTGTGATTAAATATGAAGGGAATTTGGGAACTAGGATTGCATAAGGGCTGTCTGGAAAATGCTGTGTTCCTTTAATTAATAAACATGTATGGATTACTTTGTTTCAGATATAGGTTTATAGTCTGTACTCTCGTCTGTGAAGTAGATTTAGTAATACATCATGGAGTAACTTTCAACATTAAATGAGTTTATATATGTTATGTACGTGCAATAGATGTTTTAGTAGCCTTTTTTTTTAACCTCCACCTCACTAGGACCACAACCTGA